CCTGAAACAGGTGTTTCTCACTCTGTGGTTAAGAGGTGGGGCACAGTTATGGCCTGAGCTTGAGGGTGGTGAACAGTGGAACTAGGTATCTTCAGACGGTGCTGTGACGCTGATGTCTGATGTTTCTCCTTTCCCAGTGACCTGCCATACGTGCTGAGCAAGAGAAAGAGCCCTTCGTCGTTCCAGTTGTGCGTGGACCTGAGAGGAGGAGCCATTGTTTGACCTGAGCTTGTGGGGAGCACAGATCAAAGTAAGCATAGTGCAGCGCTGCCTCTTCTTACTCTTGTCTGCGTTATGAAGCGTCCGTGAGTCAGCTCCTTGGGCCCTCTTTGGCACTCGTGATCCAGCGGTCTTGTTTAGCTGCATGTTTTCAGTAATAATCGTGTACTACATGGTGTAACTTTTTGCAGCGGGTGACAGAATGGGAAGGAAAGAGGGCTTGAATCCAGTTGGCTTTTCAATTATCACTAAAATTGCAGCATGCTTCAGGGAGATTCTTTCATTTCCTACGCTACTGAAGGTCTCTTTTCTTATGTTTTATGACCACAGATTAGTATTGTGAATGTGCTTGATTGGAGCCAGCTCTGCTTTTATTCTCACCCTGTGGATGGGAACAGGCTAAGATCTGTGTGAAAGGGTGACCCTACCTAAAGTTGAGAGAAATGTTTAAGTATGGGTGCTTCATTCGGGTCTGTCAGGTGCATTTCTGCCTTATTTTATTACTGCCTACAACTGTTCACGTGACCAGCGTCTTACATTTTCCCTCATATCCATGGAGTCCAAACCTAAATACTAGTATAAAATAGGTTTATTTTGTCTATTATCACCAAGTTCTGACCACATTCTTTCATATTTTATTTGGCATAATAGATGTTATATTTACCCAAGAACCCAGATGAGAGATACAGATATATTCACATTATCCTCAGATTATTGCCGCATGCGTTGTGCTGCTAAGCAGAGTTCTGTGTTGGCAGGTGTAAAAGTTTCCAGGAGGTTATAGTCACCGTGCAGGTAGGAGAGCTTTTAAAACAGATTCTGTAACCTCCACTTGTTAAGTTTTAGAACTGTATTTGTAGGTTAGAAATCAAGTGGAGTGTGTTAGGAGATAACAGGAGCTGAGCACACGTGTGGATGAGTCGGGTTCTGTTGATCTTTGGATGTGATCTCAGCTGGCAATAACCAAAGTGACTCCTTCAGCTATGCGAGATTGAATGATGTATGCTGATCTACTGGAAGCCTAAACAGAAAAGACTACAGTGTATGGATTGTCAGTAAGCTTTGCATTTTCCTGCTTGTGTGCTCATGCTTTTTGTGGTTTTGCTTTGTTTATTTTTGTGGGAAAAGTGTTTTCCTCTTTAGTTTGACTTCTGGTATGACAGGAATACAAATGAAGTCAAATCTGTCGTGATCAGGGAAGGACTCTTGCAGGGTGTGCACGGAAAGCTGTCATAATAAGAGCCTTTGGGTTCCTTAAGTACCATCATAGCACAAATTACTTATGTATAAAGCTTCTGAATCTAAGTTTTTGTACTTGTATGTCAGTATGCGAATTTAAACAATATCATGCCACTTCCTTCCGAAACTGAGAGACTGAACTCCATCTGGCAGTTTTCACTGCTAAAAAAGCTTGTTGGCTTCCCTAGGAGTAACTGTAACACAGAAATACAGATTTTTCAGACAAAGTATTCGCTTTGCTCTTCTCTGTGCATGATGTGGTCATGTGGATGAAATAATGTATCCCGTGAATTAGGCAAAGTAACTTCAGAAAGCCTTTGGGAGTGGGTGGAGAACTCTGGAGACACCCTTTGGTCTGGGATCACAGGATAGTTGAGGTTGGAAGGAACCTCTGACAATTGTCTCCTCCAACCCCTTGACTCAAAGCAGGGTGACCTAGAGCAGTTTGCTCAGGGTCATGCCCAGCTGGGTTTTGAACATCTTTGAGAATGATGGTGCCATAGCCTTTCTGGGCAACAGAATAAAAAAGGAGGTTTTTTTATGTTTAAATTGAATGTTCTGTATTTTAGTTTTTGTGTCTGTCACCTCTTATCATGTCGTTGGACATTATTTGGGAGACCCTGGCTCTGCCTTAGTTACTCCCCCCCATCAGGTGTTTATTTACATTGGTAAGATCCCCCTGTGCCTCCTCTTCTTGAGGACAAGCAGTCCCAGCTCTCTCAGCCTGGCCTCAGGTGACAGATGCTCCAGTCCCTCAGATGCTTTAGTGGCCCTTCACTGCTCTCACTCCAAAGTGTCCATCTTTTTCTCATGCTGGAGAGCCCAGAGCTGTACACAGCACTTCAGATGTGGTCCTGTGAGTGCTGACTAGAGCGGAAGGATAACCTCCCTCACCCTGCGAGCGATGTTGGTCAGGAGCCCAGGATGCTTTTTGATCCAAAAGTATATTAGGTAATGGTCAACTTGTCCCATCCCCAGGTCCTTTTTTGCAAACTGGTGGGCCTCCAGCCTGCCTCCTTCTCAGGGGCAGGACTTGGCATTTACCTTTGTTGACCTTCATGAGGATCCACTCTGCCCAATTCTCCAGCCTGTTGAGATACCTCCACACGCCAGCACAACCATCTGATGTATCAACCACTCCTCCCAAATGTGCATCATCTGCAAACTTGATGAGGGTGCACTATGTCCCATTGGGCAGCTCTTAGAGCATGTTTGTTTAAAAAGCAGTATTGCTGAGTACCCAAGAAGGGAAATCGGGGCTTTAGTCCTAGGTCCACCAAAAAGGCCATTAAGGGCTGTAGATAGTTATTGCTTAACTGGTAGCAGTACAGAGACATCATATCTAACCTTGAGCTGGGCAGACACTGTTTGTATACCTTCCTCAAAGCATTGTAGTTGCACTTTCATGGCATTGTAACTCAGTTCCTAAGTCCTGATGGGACAACGTGTCATGTTAGTTTGTATGAAGGCTGCAGATTTGTAGACTACCTTTACTATTGTGGTTTAACCCAGCCGGCCACTAAACACCACGCAGCTGCTCACATCCCTGGGCGATGGGGGAGAGAATAAAGGAGAAAAGGGAAGGAGACTCATGGGTTGAGATAAGAACAATTTGATAACTGGAATAAAATAAAATTAAAAGTAATAGTAATTAAAAAATATAAAAAAGGTAATAATACAGATAATATATAAAACGATAATAATACATACCATCGAGTGATGCACAGTGTAATTGCTCACATACTCTGACCAATATCTGTCCTGTCCCGACAAGCGATCCTGAAACAGACAAGTCCCAAAACTGCAATCCTGGAAGACTGAGAGCCCCGAAGAGAGATGCGAAGAGAGCGAGAGAGCTTCCCAGCCAGCCCTTATCTATTTGCTGGGCATGATGTTGCATGATATGGACTCTTCTGTTGGCCAGTCTGGGCCTCAATCCTACAACTAAGCTCAAGTCCTGAGGTAGGAGTTGTGGGTCCTTTGCTCCGGCCATGCTCCCTCCCAGCCTGCCGTGCTCCTGCACACTGGCAAAACATGGGAAGCTGAAAAATCCTTGATATTTTAGCAACTACTATAAACCTCAGTGTGTTATCAACATTCTTCACATACCAAATCTCATATGAAATCTAAAACACAGTGCTGTTCTAGCTACTCAGAAGAAAGCTAACTATCCCAACTAAAACCAGGACAACTGTTCTTTTTTTTATGCTACCTTCAGCCCTGAGCTTATGCAGAGCATGTCTGGATGCTTCTGTATCACAGCCCTAGCTCTTCTCGTCAAAGGGTTAAATTCTGCAGCACCAGTTCAGGTGACTGCAGCCCAAGTGTAGATAAGCACAAGTTACTTCTGTCGAATATCGCTGAATGATCCTTCCCTGCTCTTTCAGTTATGTATGTAAGATATTACGTAGTGAAATGAGTTGCAAAGTACCCAGAGTTAATACTGGTTGGCAGAATGTTCAGAACTCTGACTCAGGCACTCATTTGGCTCCTGATCCATGCAGGTACCCTGGCTTTGAACCCAGGATGGAGAGGAGCTGTGGAAGCTGAGAGCACATTAAGTGTAACTTTCAGAAGCTAAAGGAGTTGAGGTTAAAATAGTAGTTAAGATTAAACAAGATGCACCCTAAAGTAGCTTTTGCTATTATGGATTTGAGCATTGATGGTTGTAGCTGTTAAGTCTGCTCAGTTTTATCTTCTGTACGCCAAGCTCTATGCCTAACTGTTCTGGTTTTGCTGGGATAGAATCATAGAATCAATTTTCTGTTCAGAGAAGTGACATTTCTAAAGTAAGCTGCATTTTTAAAAAGACTGAAGCACTTGATTTTTGAGAACAAAGTTGATAAGACACTTTGTTTTAGTTTGCACCAGCCATGGTATGCGGGTATCCACAGTGATCAAGGACTGTTCAGCTTGTTTTTGCTAATGACCCTGATGTCCAGGAACCTGGGGGGAGCGTGGCCAGGGTGATTGACACCTAAACTGGCATATGGGTATTCCATACCGTGTAGTGTCATGCTCAGTATAAATAGGAAGGTTTGTTGAGGACAGCCTGTATTTCTTGATGGTCACCGTCCCTGGAGGATCTTGCTTGTCATCCTGCTCCCAAGGCCCACTCTTCCTCTCTCTCCAGGATTGCGGTTTTGGGACTCTCCTGCTCTGGGATCACTGGCCAGGAACGGACTGAATGTTGGTCAAGACGTAGTGAGCAGTTGCACCGTACATCACTTGTCTGTATATATTATTATTGTTATCATTATTATTTTTCATTTATTTTATTGTAATTATTAAGTAGTTCTTATCTCAACCCGTGGGTCTTCCTTCCTTTTTCCAGTTCCCCTCCTCAAGCTGGGAGGGGTCATTGGGTGATAGAACAGCTGGCTATTTGTAGCCCCAGATACAGGCTAAACAGAGACACTAACCTTAGCAATTTCAGAAAGACCAAAGGTGTCATTTGAAGGATGGTTTTGGGTGTACATTCATGGCCACACTGTTACAACCTTTTGGTTTTTTTTGTAGATACAGACTATTTGCTTTCCAGAATGTTTGTTGGATACGAAGACGCTGAGGATGCTGAAGTGTATGAAGATGAACTTTATCACGAGGAGTCATCCAGTGAGCAGAGTGTTGATAGTGAGGTGGAATTCCATCTCTACAGCCAGATCCACTATTCTCAAAATCTTGGAGAAGTCAGCACGCTGGAAATGGATGAAGAAACTAATGTTGCAGGAGTCACGAGTCATAGTTCAGGTCTGACTGAGAAGCGGTATGAAGACAAGAAAACCACTGAATTCATTGATTGTGATGCTCAGCTTTCAGATGACCCTGAGATCATAGTCTTATCTGATACACCAGATGAAGACAGTGTTTACAAAAGCAAAGCAAAGAAGTCAACAAGCTCTTCAGCTCAAGGTAAAATACACATGCCTCCAGGATCTTCCACACCAACTCATGCCACAGCTCCTGGATGTAATACCCTGTATCCAGCTGGATCAGGCACAAGTATTTCAAGGCAACGGAAAAGTACTACTAGTGGGAAGCTGAGCCTAGGTAGTCCTACTGGAGCTCATGCCATCCAAGACGTGTTGGTAATAGATGATAGCTCGGAGGAGGAGAGCTTGATATCTGACAGCGATAATGTCGAGAGCTGGATGCTTTTGGGAGCTGGTGCAGATGACAGAGATGAAGGTATAATGTTGAACCTGGAAGGCTGTGCAACTCCTGTCCGCGAAGGTGAGTATTTTTTTTAATCACTCGTTTATTCTTTTGTACGTTGGAGGATTTGTCTGCAACAATACTAATGTCAATGTTTGAAAAGAAGGATGAACAGAAAGCAAATTGGAGGGTATAATGATGGGTAGAAAACTATGATGAAGGAAATAGTCATTTATTTATAACAATTCAATGCCTTTATTTCAATAGTGTCATATATGAAAAGACAGCACTTTTTCTGATAGTTTAGAAGTAATATCAGACTGATTCATGCTGTGAACTTTTCAACTTTCCTATATCTTTTGTATTCCTAAAAGCATATAAGAAGTTGTGGGGAAGCAGGAGGAAGTGGGATGAAATAAAGACGGAATACAATGGTTTCTCACTGTAAACAAAGTAAGTAGGAAAAAAAAACAGTTTGAGGACTAAAGACATAAAATCAGAGGTAGGAACTGCATACTAGGAAAAAGCTTGCTGGAAAGTGCTGCAGGGTAGGAAAGCAATCAGTGCTCATAACCCAGGGAGCAGCATCATTCCTCTTCTCATCCGGTGATGTTTCTGCCCCCCTGCCCCGCCCACCTTGCCTCGTTGCCCTGCGCAGTGCAGACACCAGTGCTTGTCAAGGCTTTGCTTTACGCTAGACTGGAGAAGTTGCAACTCAGGAAAGAGACAAACTGTAGCAGGAGATGGCAAGGAACGGAAGGGGGACCACCTGCACGGGTTCCCCTTCCAGAAGCAGGTTCTGTAACTGCTCCTTCAGGAGTCCGTCAGTTTAGACTGTTATCTAAAATTTACTTGCATGGATTCTGCACTGCATAATTCAGAGAGATTCCCAACTGCTAAGACTAACATCTAGCATTTTGGCAATTTGCAAAATATTCTTCCATGTTATTGTGCAGAAAGGTAGTAAATGTGATGGTTAGCACGACAGATTTTAGGTACACAGTTGTGTTTGTTATACAGTCATACTACGTAATACGTACCTTGTCACTAGCAACCAAAAACTCTGTTGGACAGTTGTTGCTCGCCAGAAGAAGGCTTCAGGCTGCGGCTCTAAAGCAGATTGTCACTTCTTCCACAGCCAGGAGGAAATGGCCCGTCTTTTGTCCTAGCAGCCACAATTCCTAGCAGCTGAATCAGCTGGATCCACAGTTCCCCCTTTTTTGTTTACTAATTTTTAGAACTTCATGGTGAGCAGAGACCCAGTTAAGTAGAATTCAGTAGAATTCTTGCTTCCCTCTTTTGGGGTAGCTTTACCTTCTTTGTTGAAGGAATTCTCACTCTGGCTCTTCTGGCTCCGGCTGGGGCTCCAGCACTGGCGAGGTCTCTTTTAGGGTCTCTATTATTTTCTTTGTTGTCACGTCGGGGTCACCGGATGTTGCTCACCAGAAGAAGGCTTCAGGCTGCGGCTCTAAAGCAGGTTGTTGCTTCTCCCGCAGCCAGGAGGAAATGGCCCGCCTTTTGTCCTAGCAGCCACAATTCCTAGCAGCTGAATCAGCTGGATCCACAGACAATCAGCCATGCTTTTGTCTTGCCCACCGGTTTCCCGAAGCACAAAGGTCATTCTCAGGAGCAGTGTCCTCTGCCAGGCTGAGAGAAAACACTGCCTGAAGGAAGGCTGCCTGGGTGGCAAGGCTAGCCAGGTCTGCTGCAGCAGTGAGTGCTTTGCAAGACTTTTTTTAAATTATTGTTTAGAAAAAAAACCCAAACCCATAATTTTACTTGGTACACATGTAAATGAGGTGGTTTTGGGTTCAGGGAAAAGAAATATTCTTCTGTGCTGATCTGCAGGCTGAAAGTAGTGAAGTTTTTCCTCAGGATGGCTGTGCAAACAGCACTGCTCTTCACCTGCTGCTACTGAACTGTTTGAGAGGAGAAAGCTGAGAAATTGTCTTTGCCTTCTTTTCTGGTAAAACACCTGTTTCTTGCCTGTAAACGTTCAATAACCTTTTGCTTGGAGTTGTTCCTGTGCGTAGTCCATTGCCAAACAGACCGTAGGGTGCTCTCCATGTCAGATGGTTGATGGAAGGTGCCAGTGTGTTTGCCCGGGCCTCGGAGGTTTAAGAAATGCTTTCCCTGTTCCCAGTGCAGTGCCAGAGCATTCAGTTGCCATACCAGAACCCCAGACAGGCATGGTTTAGGTGGAATTTATGTAGTTTTTCTTCTCCCTATAAATCTCTTAAAATGCAGGTTCTAAGAATTAACTTGAAGTTGCTAAATTTCGTTAATATCTTTCTTTTTGTATTTTTATAATCTGTCCTCTTCTTTGAAACTAGAGCTAATTAGCTTGTCTTTTTCTTAAATTACTCTGCCTGTTCAGAAGCAAAATGTTTGGGGCCATGTGGTGACTGCTGTGACAGTGCTGATGCTGTTTGTACATAGCAAAGTTAATACATTTTCTGGGTAGTGACTATTTTTCTCGTAACTGCTGGGCAGGAAAATGACCTGGAGTTAGGTTTCTTTTTTCCAGTTGACTTGTGTATCTCCTCGGATTTATATTGATGGTAGAATTAAACATGCCCAAAAAAGCAGAAGACAGAAAAATGTTTAAACAGTGCTTGGACACTTCAAGGATATTTCAAAATTACATATACACATTTTGGGAAATGTGATGTAATTAATGTATTGGAGTGATTATGCTTACTAGGTGTAACATGAAAATGAAAATTCACGTCTTCGTTCTTTGTGCTCTTCTAACAAAGGTGTGCCAGTGCTAACAGAGAGGCTTTTAAAAAGCAATACAGGAGGTTAACACAAGGAGACAGTTTTGCTAACTTATGTTTTCGTAACAAAAGTAGTAATGTTTCTTGTTTGTATATATATTCATAGATGTTGACAATAAGCAAACCACATTCAAAGCAGGTAATCGGAGTGGAATTTTCCTGTGCTGTATAAACTTGTCATGCTGTTCAGAACTAAAATTGATTCATTTAATGGAGGCAATGTAAACGTTTTTTGAGATACTCGAATGGAAAGTGAAAGACAGTCACACAAGAGAGGCATAAATTTAACAGTTCTTCTCCTACTCCGATTTTTATTCTCAAAGCTATGTCAGAACCTCCTCACAACCCCTTCTTGCCCCTCACCTCACATCGATAGTGGTTTTGCCAACAGCAGCCTCATGCCCAGAGAAGCTGTGGGATGTGCAGAACACGTGTCAGGCACACACGGGTGCTTGGGAGCAGGTGCCACTTGTACAGGCACAGCTCTCTCCATTGTAGCTTTTGCCTTTCTACGTATGGGTGACTGTGCAGAAAGTCTTAACCTTTGTGTGTTTCTGCCGACTGTGAAGGAGTCGATGATGATCTGTTCGACTCTGCCGTGCGCCTCTGCCCCGGTGCCGGCCCCAACGCCAGCACGTGCCTGGGGCGCAGAGGATTCTGCAGGGCTGGCTCCAGTCGAAGCCCTGGTTCTCAACCGCATCCCAGATTCCAGTGAATGTTATTCAGGTAGCTCTGGCACGCACAAGTTTGGTTCAGCTGCCATGTTTCTAAAATGTATGGTGATGGGGATACAAAGACACAATAGTTTAGAGAACAAAAGCTGTAAATCTTCCTAATACAAAGTAACCATAATTCGTTTATTGAGCTTACGCAGCATTGTAAGTCCAGTTCTATAAAGGACTGACACATAAACATAAACATTTTAAATCCAAAGGAAGAATAACATTTAAAAAAATATGTTTGTTGGCAAATCTTATCCTCTCAAAGATATTCTGTGCTAATTAATTCAAATTATTTTGAGAAGTTCACAGTTCTGTTTTCAGGGTTTCTAAAGAATGGGATCAAGTATTAAGTGACTACGCAGTGTGTAAATCACTATTTCAGGGCTTGCGGGGTCGGTAAGGATGGACATAGAGTATAGCAACTGGTGAAGCCTTGCCTGTTCCCTTCTCCTCCGATGCTGCCTGTGACTGTGTAAATGGGATAGACCTCCCATGGCAGTGTCGTGGTGTGCCTGGGGTCCAGTTTGCTTCACATTAAAAAGGGAACTGAAACATGAATACTTCTCTGACTCTGAGAGTGGCCGGTTGTGTCAGTTGTTTGATGAGTCTGTTTTCATGTCAGAGTCGCTGAAATAGAGATGCTGAGGTACCACTTGAGTCAGAAATAACTCCTCAAGGAAAGGAATTAGGCATATCTCCTTATTCTGTTAACTCCTTTACATCTTACTTGCCTGCTCTGCTCTTATCTAACAACCTTTTTATTTTTAATACTCTCTATAAACAAATAATGCTTTCTTGATACCTCCAGTGCAGAGGATCATCTCCCCATGCAGCCTTCTAGCTTCAGCCTCCACCGCCTGCTGTGACGGAAGATGCCCCTCTGCCTTAGGCAATGAGCTCTGATTTGTGATGGTGAATCAAGATTCACCTTCTGTCTTCAGTTGACATCTTGAAATTTATGGCTGGTCCACAAACACTGCTGTTCAGAACACAGCTGGAAACTTTTCCTCCCTTTCTACTCTCTTTTCAAATAGCTTTAGATGCCTTTCACTTATTTTTATGTTTGCTTGTCTAATACTGCATTAAGCAAAACTGTGATTGTCCCCGTATTTCTGTAAAATCCAACTTTTTGTCATGCGTCTGCTGGTTTCTCAGCAAAACAGCTGGTTGGTACCCTTTCATGATTTGGGATGTGAAGGTGAGTGCTGACTTTCTTGTTTCATACGGAAGGATGTCAGGGAAAGTGCTCGCTGTTCCATCGTGGCTCTGGCCCTCTGTATGCCAACTTTGTTTTTTCTGATGAGATTGTGCATAGTTTGGATGTGAAGCAGGCACTTAACTCGAATTACAGACAGTTGCTCAAGCTGACAGACAGCGGCCACGTACCTCTGTGTGTTACTTGCCTCCACCGAGTCATCTGTGGGTTTCCTCATGTGGCATTTGAAAAGGTGGGCACTGCTGCTGCTTGTTACTTTGCAAAAAGGGTCCTACCTGCTTCGCGTGGCATTTGAAAAATGGGTAATTCAGCAAATCTAGGTCTTCGGTATGATCTACCTGATTTTTTAAACGTTTAGAGTCCAGAAGAAAGTGTGCAAAGATACAAACGTACCATGTACTAAATGTAGTGAATTCATTTTCAGTGTCAGAGAGTTTCCAGGTCTTTGAAGGAGGATTCTCCCCTCCCACCCCTTTCCTCCACTTTGCAATGAGAGTATATATGATAAGAATGTTAATTTCCTGTAGTTGAAAGTCTTTCATCCATTCCTTCATTAAAAGCTTCCTTTTAACATATTTCTTCTTCCACATATAGCTGCAATCCTAATCTCTGCTTTTTTTTTTTTCTCATGGCTTTTGGAAAGACAGCTTTCAAAGCTGCAGCATTGATGTCCATCCACTAAAGGGTACAAAAAACAATTTATCTTCTCCTTATTTCATCTTTTGTCCACCCAGTACCTTCCTCGGAGACGACAGGCTAATGCGATCATGCTCTGGGTTTGGCAGGTTTGTAGGGTGGGGCACGTATGGTCGGTTTTGAATCCAAAATTTCTGTGGAACGGCACATTCGTAACCTGCTGGGCTCCCAGAGAGGGAGCAGTTGTTTTCATCTGACTCTGGGTTTTTTCTTGTTAACACAGTGCTAAGGCTTTGCCAGAACATAGCTAGAGATGCTCCTACTGGCACAAGAAGTGCTCTCAGAAGTAGCAGCCGACGGGCCTCCTTGGCCATCGCTCCGCACCTGCGCCCCATCAGAGCCCCGGCGCAGTGTCCTCGGTGGCGCTGGCCACCCTTCCGTGACACCGACTGTGACACGGCATGCCGTGGCTTGAGTGATCCCCACGCGTGCTGCTGGGCACAGCTGCTGCTCGAGCATCCTGGGGGTCCTTCCCTCTGCCAGCAGCAGACCCAGACCAGGGACCAACTCAGCTGCTTCTGTTCAGGTGCAGTGCCCATTTAGCTGGAGCTCACTGCAGCCCCAGGGCACAGAGAGCCTCTGAACCGAGGGTGACGCTGTGCTTTTGTGTGAGCAGTTTGTTCCACAACTGTGCAGAAGCTGTTCTTGGTGTAGCTTTGGCTCTGGTGGTAACCTCAGACAAATGAGGAGCAGGAAGCACAAAACTCAGCTGAGGCTTATGTGCTGTTACGAGATATTTTTAAACCTGTTTATCACATGATCTTCTAGCAATCAGAATAGATGAAATAATTTTTGTACAGATTGACTTCTGGAATTTGGTAAAACACCAGTATTTTTAATTTTCTCTGTTGAAAGTAATTGTGAAAGGAAGCCAATGTCCAAGGGGCAAATCATTTCACTTGAGCCATGGGATTTCATGTCCACTTTTGCTTTTACTGTCCTGTAAAACTGCCTTGTACAAAAAGAAATAGTGAACATAAAGTGCAAACTATTATTTCCAAAGCAGATTTTTTCAGCTTTCTGTTTCGTCATCTATTTCCATCTTGTTTCCAGGTTTAGAGGTCTTGCTGTGCACTGGTTTTTATCCTTAATCAATGAGTCTTTCAATTAGTCAAAGAAACCACAATAAAAATAGATTTGTAAAATGAAGGGGATTTGAACATTTAGTGAATGAAACCATAAAAAAATACATGCCTAAAATGAAAAAAAGAAAAAGGAATTTGAAAGCATTTTATTTGTGCCTTCTCCCTCCGAAATAATGTAGGAAGGTGTTTTCTGCTTCACAGCAGTAACTACAGCTTATAGAGTCAAAATAGTAACAGCAGTGCCTGATGAAATTAGCTTATTGTTTTATCTCTGTCAGCCATGCTTAAAAGGAAATACCCTTTGTTGACTATTAGTGCTTTAAATAGCTTCTTCTAGATGCATGACTTCATTTTCTCTTAATTCTCTATGGTACAACAGAAACCATTCAAAAATATGACCACGTCTGTGTCTTTCTCTGCTCTCTGCTGTTATTCATACCCCTCAGTGTATTTTTAAACAATGAAAAAGTGTAAGCTTCTTTCTAAAATGACAAAAAAGTACAGTAAGTTGTGCTTTCCTTCTTTAATTTACCTTTTCATTTGACAGCTAGTTTTGAACACGACCTCTGCAAGATGTACGTTTTTGTTCTGGTCTTGGTATTTGTGGCACCAACTTACTTGTTCTACAAAAATGTCTACAAGAAATTTTTCGTTTTGTTAGGCCACAGAAAAGCTATGTAAAGAGCGATACTTCCCTGTATTTTTTGGATGCCTGAATTGTGGAATTGCTGAATTAAATTTCAGCAAAAGCTGCTTTCAAAAGTAAAAAAAGATTTCTTGGTGACAATTCGTTCAGCAATTAATTATTAATACCTAATGGTATGTGCCGCGGTTCTTAAGAGCAGCAAGACTTATTGAAGTAGTCCACGTAGAAATTTCAATGTTAAAAGAAACCCCCAAACCCCAAAAAAGCAAAGTTTTTATTTGGTGGCTGCTGTGGGCGGCAGCTGTGGGTGGCAGCCCCTGGCCCGCTGCTGCGCGTGGGTTGGTGCTTCCCCACTTGCCGCTGCTTCTTCTCGAGGTCGGGGAGGCTGCTCCTCGGTAGCCGTGGGCCACCTCACCCTGCTGGCTGCTTGGCCTCCCGTCTCGGGGTGGCCCCAGCCCCCGGTGGAGCTCGGTGCCACTGTCAGCACGACGTCGTGGCGGGGAGGCCGAGCGCGGGTGCCGGGCATTGGGAAGGGTCGGCTGGTGGAAAAGAAGGCAGGAAAGGCGTCTCTGTGTAAAACTGGCACTTGTTTGGGCACAGCCTGCACGGGGAGCGGCGTTGGCATTGGCTGGTAGCCCCTGCGCACCTGGCACCGCTATGTCCCTTGCCTGCTGCTGAGCTGCGGTCCACTGCCGGGGGATGGAGGGGCTTCCCGAGGAGGGTGGGAGCCCATCGTCCTGAGTCCTCCTGCCCAGCTGTGCCCAGGTCAGCCGGCTGCCTGTGAAGTAGAGGTTGATGTCACCGAGTTCAGTTTTTCTGTCAGTGTGCGTGTTGCTGGAACCCGTTACCGGCTTTGCTCTTCCCGGAACTGCGCCCGGCAGAGTGCTCAGGCTTTCCTGTCATTTGAGGGGTGTTCTCCGTGCCTGTGTTTGCTTGAACCTGAACGGTGCTTAAATGCGGTGGGAGTGTTTTGTGCATGAGTTGCTATAGCAGAACGCACCCTGGAGCGGTAATAAGCGGTGGGAATCCACCTGCCATTTGGAAGATACAGCACATGCATATGGATATTTTGATTAAAGAAAAAAAACTTAATCTTCTTTACCGTGTAATGTGGATACACTTGAATCTCTTGATTATTTAAGAAAAAAAATTAATAAAACTAATAAAGTTCCTTTGCAAATCTGAAGAGATCTGGGCTAAGCGTACCTGCGACCTGGGCAGGCCCTTTTATCTGCGCAGATTTCGTTGCTATTGTGGACCTTAGCTCTGATTTAAATTTCCCATGGCTTTGGATTGCTGACTAGGTTTTCTGCAAGAGTGCCCATGCTTACATGGTCATAAATTCTGGGT